TTCCCCCAGAAGGTCACTGGGAATAATTACATTTTCTTGTGAATCTGTCTTTTGTAAAGTTCAAGCAAAACATCTTAGTCTTCCCAGCTAAGGCCCTGCCTTTGGGCCTGCAGAAGATACAACTCAGAGTTCAATTAAAGAAAGAAAGAAAAAAAAAAAAAAAAGCGTGGGGGAGGCCATAGGAAAGGGAAAAGCAGGGGGGGGGCAATTAAAATTTGTAAGTTTCGCTGCAGTGTTAACAAGACTAAACAAAATTTGTGCTTTGAGATAAAACAGAACGTAGTGCCTCCAAGTTCTCTAGCTTGTATCACTCAGACTGATAGCATGGTGCAGGGAAAAGCAGGCTTTGTGGCCAGCCAGACTCAGCGGGTGCTACTGCCTTCTCTGTCTTCTAGCTGTGTGGCCTTGGACCAGGTACCTGGCCTCTCAGAGCCTCAGTTTCTTCAGTGCAAGTGTAGACCAGGCTCAGGGAGTGCCTTCCATAACCCAAGGGTGTTGCAGGAGTCTTACACCAACCCGCAGCTCCTTCGGGTTACAGCCTTGGGGACAGCATTATATCAGTGCTGGGAGAGAATCTGCTTCTTTGTACAATGGGAGAAGGGAAAGCAAGCAGAAGAGTCACACATTGGCCTGCCACCCCATCTTGGGGTCAAATGGGCTGTTTACCAACAAGATTTGCTGTCACCCTCCTGAGAGTGAGTGATACAGTGGAAAAAGGCCCTCTGGAGACTCACAAATGCCTCAGAGGTGCTCCTGTTTCCATGATGTCCCAGCAAGGTCTGGCCACACTGCTCCCATCCCCCATGCAAAAGGCAGCTTCCCCTACAGCCCCCACAGCAGGAGAGAGAAACCGGTTAAAAGAGTGGGGGTGCCTGTCACACTTCTCTGTAACCCCTGACGTGATGTGAAAGTCTACAAGGTAGACCCTTTGAAATGCAAAATCTTCCAGAGTCCTTCAAATGTGGTTTTATTTTCTCGGGTTCCTAAGGCGGCTTTCAGACCCACCCATCAGCATTTTCCCTCTCAATCAATTGGCATTTAACAACTAACATGGGGGTGGGGGGTGGGGATCAAGGACATCTCTATTTTTTTTTTCCCAGAAAAGCTCAAGTGTCACCATTCGTTTGGGGGTGGGGGGGGACATCTTTGTCCTTAGCTCCAACCTCCCAGCACCCGCTCCAAACATGCTCCCATTTTTATCAGCAAGGCATTAGTTTCTGCTCAGAACCTCAGAACATTTTCATAGAAAAGAATACAAGTTCCCTATGACCCAGGTTCCTTAAGATTAAGACAGACACCATCAAAACCACAACCCCAAACATACAAAGGCCGAACCTTCAGCCAAAACCATGTGCACTAGAGGTCTGCGTTAAGTCAAAGAGTTACCTGAAAACAGTGTTGTTTGGCAGAGAAAATTACTTCACCATATGAAGAATCCGAGGGAATAGAAACTGCTTTTGAATATAGACTTTTCAGTGGCTTGGTCATTAATCATGTTAACGTAAACTGCACTAAAACAAAAAATTTTCTAACCAAGTCTCAGGGCACATCAGCATATCTAAGCCCCTGGGTTTGTTTCCAAAGTTCACATCCCAGCAAGCAATGAAGCTACTGTTAATGGGGTCAGCTATTACTAAGCAGTATCCCCCAACCCTGGAGGATAATAAAGATGACTGGGGTGTATTGAAAGCAAACAAACAAAAACCTTTATGAAGTTAGGCAGGAAACAAACAAATTAATCAGAGAAGTAGAGAGAGCACATGAGTTTTGGGAAAATGTATTGATTGAACAAGTGTGAACACAAACTCCTCTGGGACAATGTTTTAAGAAATGAGAGAAGTCAGCATTTCTGGCACCCAAGTCCCCAGGCAGACTCTGTTTCGCATCGTGAAGGGCAGGGCAAGGCAGGGCAGCAGCTGGACAAGGAGAGGAGGAATGGAGCCCAGCAGGGCTAAGCAGCCCTGAGCCCAGCCAGGCCCAGCCATGTGCTTCGTGTTGGCAACAAACCGGTTCTTTCGAGAGAGGAGGAGTCTACAAAAAGGACAGCTACAGCAAAGCAAAAGCAGAAAGGCAAAAACCTCAAGAAAGCCCTAAGAGTTAAAACAAAAGCAAACCACCTTTGGGGTTTGCAGAACTACTTAATCTATTAACACACACACCCCTTGTTACTGAATCAATTAAACTGAGTTTGTCCACATCTGGTTTCCATCTAAAACCAAAACTTGTACTATCAGCATATTACATAAGAAATTATGCCTGCAGGTTTCTTTTATTACACATCAGAGAGGTGTGCACGGTGGTGGTGGTAATGATGAGGGTTGTGCTGACCTGAGTATTTCTCTCTCTCTCTCTCTCTCTCTCTCTCTCTCTCTCTCTCTCTCTCTCTCTCTCTCTCTCTCTCTCTCGGGCACAAACAAGTTTTTCATACTGTGCATGATTAAACCCTAGAAAACCTCTCACCTGAAAGACATATCAACTGAGTCTGTGGACCCAGCCCTCAGTCCTCTGTGCCAGCTGAAGAGGAGTGGGTGAGAAGGGTGTGCATCTTAAAGAGCTCTGCAGGCACCAGATTGCTGCACAGTGCCCCCTGCTGACAGGATTTAAACATAGCTCCACCACTACCACCACCCCCAGAAGGGGAGGAGAGCTAGCTGGGCAGGACAGCCTTGGCGAAGCTCTCACGGGTCAGACACTAGCTCAAGGGTTAAAGCAAACCAGCTTCTACAGAACTAACGAATGGGGATGCTAAGGGATACTGAAGCAATTAATAGGATGGGGGGGCAGATTAGGAGAGATAGGAGGAGACAGAGAAAGAGAGAGACCAGGAAATACCAGGGCTTCCTGTAAATTCAGTTGCATGACTTCTCTGTGAAGATCTTGAAGTATCTATCTCCTGCTCTTTCCACAACAAACTTGCTATGCTGAAATTAAGGGGAGAAACTGATGAGAATAATCACCAATCAAAACTACCCACCTATCCTGCCTTGAACAACCTTAAAGTCCACTTGTGCAGCAATCACACAGCCAGCTTTTCCATAATGCTAACCCTTGCTTTGATGTTAAAATGAACATACAACAAGCTCATCTTCTAAGGGGGAAAATACCAAGCCCTTGAGCAGAGCAACTCTGAACTGGTCTTAAGAGCATCATGCTCCCTGTTCAGACATTTGGGAGAAAACCATAGGCATTCCCCAAGCCTCTTAGGATTTCTTGCCTACCACAGCAACCAGAACCTGGATCAGCACACCACTGGGTCTACAACTACAGTTACTGAACTTATGACTCAAACCTTCTTTAACTAAAAATGGCCTATCAAGTTAGCTATTTTCTACTAATCTAGTGCACAGCCAAGGGCAGGTGGTGGTGAGGAAATATCTCCAGACCTTCAACTCACTGTCAAAACTGTAACTGAGATAAATCCCTGCTAAGTGAACAAATTAAAATGAAACCAAAACCTGGCCCAGTCAGGAGCAGTGAGTTTCGCAGCCTCCACTCTTTCCCAAGACCTAAGCAAATCGCATCTTTTTAAACTGGAGTCCAGGATTCAGCAAGGAGGGATCCCCCTTCCAGGCTTGGAGACTGCTGGGAACACATATGCTAGCATGTCATTTGGAGGTCTGCTAATAAACTGAAGGAGCACAAGACGTTAGCCTGGCTTCCGGAGCCAATAAACAATGCCATTCCAACTCTGAAGCAGTCAACAGAAAACAGTCCCTTTTCTCCACCGTCCAACAATTCAACAAACATTTGTTCCTGTTGAACAACCTTCAGCCCGGCTCCATCTGCACCAACTCCTGGGAGACAAGCACCACGGCGGCGGCGGCGGCGGCGGCACAAATGCCCTGCCCAGGGGCCAGGACCGGAATGCAACCCACTGCGGGGGCCACTTTCCCAACACCACGGAGTCCGGATTCTACCGTATGGAATACTCAAGAGTGTGGCCTATAGGAGGCAGAATCCCATTCACCAAATGCTGCAAAGAGGTTTTCTTTGTTCGCCATGGTACTAAGTACAGTACGTGTTAATGAACCCTGCGGTCAGAAGGAGCACGCCTGGCATCATAGAGCGTCCGAAGGCGAGGGTCCAGAGCAAACCTGACCACGCAATTCTAGGGTCCTATCCCGCACCCCAAGCATTGTTTCCGTAGTCCAAAGGGTGGAAGAGGGGCTGGGAGGGGGGTGGGGGGGATTGTCCGAGAAGACACTTGGGGCAACTCAAACCGCAGACCCTCTTCTGATTCTGGGTTCCCAAGCACTTTTCGTCCCGGTTCCACCAAGAGAACCCCCTAGTAGAGAACCTGACTTTCACCAGCTCACAAATCAAGGACTGGCAAAAAATATAACTAGACTAGTATCCTGTGACGGATGGCCCTCTTCGCCATGTGCAAAAACCACGCCAGCACAGGCGAACCCCACCACCACCACCACTCCGCAAGCCCTGGCTGCAGCCACGCTGCCGGCTTCCCCTCCCGAAGCAAAGCGCCCTCTCACCCCCTTCGCCAGTTCTCGGGCCAGTCCAGCAGCCCTGAAGTCGTCCCTGCGCACCCGCATCCCGGGGGTGGCTGGTGTAAACTTCCGCGAACAAAAGAGTTGTCTGCAAACGATGCAGAACTTCGGGGCTCAGCGCCTTCGCTACTGCCACAAGCCGGGGCTCAAGTTGAGCCTCAGAAGAGGCTGCCCAGGACGCAGCCGTCTCCGCGGTCGGCTGCCCGGCCCGAGGAGCACAGACTTTTCTGCAGCGCCAGGTTTGTTCTTCCCCCGCCTGTGCGCTGACAAGTCTCACGCCTGCACCAGGGCGAGTGAGACTGGGCGCCGGCAGAACCCACCCGATCCGCCGCCCAACAAGGAAAAAGGGGGGAAGAAAGCCAGCAGCATTGGGGAAGAAAAGAGCGAGCGCAGTGCACGCGAGCCGGACGGACTTCCCCCACCGGCTCCGGGGAGCACACACCGACACCACTCCGGACCAGCCCCGAGGCGCGGTCACCCAGCCGGGTCGCTTACTGTGCGCGCCGGACGGGGGCCGTCACTGCTAGCGCTCGCCAAGTCGTCCCGGCTGCCCGCCCTCGCCTGCCGTGCGCACGTTCTCCTGCCGGCGCCGAGCGCTTTGTACCGAGCGGCTCCCAGGGAGGAGGAAATCGACTTGTCACTTCCTGAACTGTTTGCAACTCGTCCCTTTAACTGGCCTCGGCCAGGCCGCCAGTGCCGCCGACGGGCCGCCCGACCGCGGCTGCGTGAAGTCAGTGGCGCTGTGCGGGCGGCGTCGCGGCCCGGGCGACCGGCGTGCCGCTACGAGGTGCAGTGCGCGCAGCCGCCAGTGGGCGGGGAGTTGGGGGGGGGGTCGCGGCGCGCCTCCGGCAGGACTGCCGGGTGTCCAGAGAACACGCACCGCGCGCCCCTCATGCCTGGAGTCCCCGGCCGCGGGAAATAACCCCGCACGAGTCAGTACCGAAACCCTGGCCGCGTGGGCTTCGCACGGCCAGCTTCCGGGTTAGCACTTAGCAGTTTAAAAGAAGGGATCCTATCTAAAGCGAACAGGACCGCAAGGGGTTGGGGGAGGGCCACACTTTAGGATAATAAAGCACTGTTCCAGACTTTGGGTGCCATCGTAATAGAGGAATTTGTACTTCAGATGCCACATCCAAAATACATGCAACTGGCGAAGGAAGGATTTGCGGTTGCTAAGCAAAGGCAGGGCATGTTTAGTTCTGTAACTTAGGATGTTGACTTAAGTGCAGGAATGTAACCCTGATAGAATAAGCAGAGTATTTTCATTGTGCAGCTCACCTGGGGGAGGGGACCATGTTCCTTGTGAACTGAAGCCCTAGATTTCCTATCACTCCTTCCTGCTGATGTGTTGTCATTAACCCTGTATCTAAAGAGATTTTTAGAGTTGTTTGTTTTTTTTTTTTTTTTTAGTCCCTTTTGCCAAAAAAACAAAACACATTACTTTACATGGATTGTGTCTGCACCGTTTGAATGGTTCTATTCATAAATCAGGAAACTTTTTCTGTTGCTTCTAGGAACATTTAATTGGTTTTAATCCAATGTTGAAATCCCAGTATCAAACATAAATGAACAATTAACTTTTTGAGTTTGTGTACACTTGGGAAACTATTAGATTTCATGGCTATTGCTGAAATAGTTCAGTTTGTCACCACACTGGGCCTATTCTTTTCAGAAAAGCATGAGCTAACCTCGTTCAGCCTGACTACAGTTCATTCCAGAGATTCTGCCATAAGATTAAGATGCTCATCAGAAGAAAAGAAGTCTGTTCACCTCAGAGAGATGATGTGAACACAATCAGATCACCCCAAGGAAGTTGAAGTGTCCTAATATACAGAATACAAAGACCATCATATCTGTAACACATTATTTTCTTTTTTTAAAACGTGTTATGGGCCAATTTTGAAAGGAAAAAGAACCATGTGTTCTGTCAAAAGAAGGTACACTTAATGGCATTTCCCTTCCAGAAAACCACCCTATCTCCATACTACCACCTTAACCTCTAAGTACTATAAGGATAGTTTAATGCACTAACTTTTTATTGGGAGGCCTAGAGTGACTCCTGCTGGCAAACACTCAGTTTATCCCTGCAATTACTAGTTCATCGGGTCAACTTAAAAAAAAAAAAAAAAAAAAATCAAGATGCCAGGGGTCCTACACCTGGAAACAATTATTGCAACCATTATTCTTGTGGCTTTCAGGACCATGTTAGTCTCATGAAATTCCAAAGATGGGGGTTATGGGCATCTCCTTTGCTCTAACACCTTCTTTTCCAACCCCAAGCAAGCAGCCTGTTTTTCTGGTTCTTAGCCTTTCTTGACATTACCTAGTTAGTATGACTAAAACTCCTGCATAAAGAGCAAGACTAACCAATGTAATTATCTAAATCACAATCCTCAAGAGTAAAAAGACATATATATACTAAATTAAGGCTTATGTCAGTCCTCCATAAAGTTTACCACATATTTGGTTCTTACTGTTAAAGGCAATGGCTCTTTTATTATAAAAAGTCCTGTCCTCAAGGTTGTTGGATTAAAGTTTTGTTTAATTCAGAATAGCCACAAAGCCAGTCAACTGAATTTAAGATTAGGTAGGCAGCAGCTAGGAAGAGGGAGGGGAGTTCAACTGTCTACCTTTGTTCATGCTTAAATGGTCAACCAAATCAGATCCAGATTTAGAGTACAACCAGACACCTAAACACAAATGCATAGGCCAATTCAGAAATAAGTTCACAAATCTAAAGACCGACAACCACTTGTAACTCTGCCATTATCCTGAATAAATACCGACCTGATTAAAACCATGCAACACCCCGGAAAATATAAAATGCAAGGATTATTTAGTTTCTTACTTTAAGACCAATATGAGACCCAGGGATAAAGTAATACTGATTCTTTTGGCTTTCCCCCAAATAGGAGGTCTAGCAAATAGAAGACTGTTTGTGTGTGCAGTATGCATCATGTATCCTTCACTGAGTATTACTGTTACAGCTCCCCAATTCCAAGCGTACAGCTCTTAAGCAACAGGAGACAATAAGGGTGTATTTTATTAAGAAAGGGTGTAACCAACTATAACTTGTATCAACAAGCTAAAGAAGTGTTCACCTAAGCACATCTGTGGAGAGGAGGGTAAAGGTTGCTTTTGATATATACTAAGGAGTGTCTAAAGCAGTTAGTGGGTGTTTTATGCCTTTAGAACCAGATCAGTGTGATGTTCAGAAAACAAAGAACTAAGTTTTGAAGTTTGAGTAACTGTTCATTTTCACATATATCTGTACCTATGTCTAAGTACATCACTAAAAATTAGACAAGCATAACCATAGGAATTCATTTAGACTAACAAAGTGAACAAACAAATGTCAGACATGTTATACATCGAGCCCAACAGCAGTATGCAGATGCTTGTGTACCAACCCCTTTATTCGGTTTCTAAAAGCCACTGTGCCTCTTTGTCACACTGTTGTATTAAAAGCCAGTCACTCACATTTCACACTGTTCTTTCTACATCTGAAAAGGCCTTTTTTTCCCCAAGCAAAACCTTTTAAAATTGCTTATAATAGATTATGGGAAGACAGACATCACCAAATCCACCTGAAATGTTTTCAAAGAGACTGGCGACTGAAAGCAAGTTGATAGAAAATATTTCTTTGGAAAATATGTAAGATATCTGGTCAGAATTAAGGCCAAAACTGTCCATTATAGGGACTCATATGTGGATCTCATTCAGAAGAATTCTGCAATTTTCCCTACATCTATTATTAAGTTACAACTAACAGCCCTACCTATGAAACATTATAATACATTAATTCTTTTGTTCTTTCCTGTGCTTTTATCTACCTATGAAGATAAGTTACAACTTTAGGGTATAATATTTGTATGCTAAATATATAAAACATAAAGCATTTTGATCCTTAAGGGGAAAATTATATTTTTTAATCCAAGAAAAACTAAATTTATTTTCATTGGAAAATAACCACAACAGTGAATTTAATGATACCAATCTCACTCCTCTGATACAAAATAAGAGTTAAAAGCAGTTTGGAGAGGAATGACTATTGAAATCTGCACATGTAACTGTGCTGCTTTGTAGCCGAATGTCTAGCACCATTGAGGTATGAAAGCATGCCAGCTGGGATGGCATTGTGCACCACAAAGTGTGGGTCGTAAGCCTACGTCCTGAGCACAAACCCTGGTTTCCAAGTTGGCAGGTGCTGAAAACACAGCAAATGTCACGCTTGCAACTCATTGGATGGAAGACCTCGGGTAGGGCAAGCTAAAAGCTAAAAAGAACAGAGTGAGAATTAAAACTTGAAAGTTCAAACAATTCAGTAGTAACCTTTTCAAAAATTTCCTAGTGACTGTTATTATTATATAAGAAAACACAGGAATAAAAAGGAGACATTGAAGCTTATTCACAGTAAATAAAAAGGAAAAAGTGTAACAAAGGTATTCACTTACTTGCAAATGAAAACTTACTAAGCCAATCATATTATTCCAATACAAAGCTTCAAAAACAAATCCTAGGGGGCTGAAGAGATTACTCAGCAGTTTAGTGCACTTATTGATATTGCAGAGGCCCTGGGTTCGAGTTCCACCACTTAATGGTGACTCTGACCTCCACAAGCACCAAGCACACACATAGTGCACATATATACATGCAGGCAAAATATTCATACATACAGAAGTAAATAATTGCTTTAAAAGTTAACAGAAAACATACCCTCTGATGTATTTGTGATGGCAACTGAAGTAGACTTTAGTGTCACTATCACGCAACTAGCTATCTACAACAATTTTCCTGTTACTCCACCAAAAACAGCTAAAAAACAAGGCAGTGTTTTCAAATTGCCCTATGTTTAACTTAGAAAACATTTCAACTGCATTCCCAAACTAAATTCACATGTCCTGTTTTCAAGTAAAAACCACTTCAAGGTTTTTCTTATTTTTTAGAATTCATTTAGTATTTGCCAAATTGTTTTTCTCTGTTGAGTCTAGCAAACCTATTTTTTATTTGACCATACTGATAATCTAAAATCTACTGATATCCTTTCTATTGCCCCCAAAAGGACATTTTCCATTCCATTCATTATTGAGAAACCATGTATATAGTTCATGATTTCACAAAGCTTAAATACACAATCTAAATCCTGAATCCTTTGGGTTCAAATATGAAGGGGGAAAGTTGTCTCTGGGTCTAGCAGGAGAGACTAGAGGACCATGAGAATATTCGCCTAGTTTGCAAGCTTGTGAATCTCTTCACTGTCTTCAGTGTTTGTCAATATACTGTTTGCAAAAATAAAGGTCTTTGTTTTCATTCACACCACTGTCATTTTAAGAAGGATGAGATTCACCTGCTTCTTTGTTTTTCTTCCCTGCTAGTTCTGTGTGAGTTCTCATGCAGGTGTAGGACATCCATACCTGAAGCATAAAGGGACAAATATGACTACAGAGGGGAGGGGATCAGCTTTAGTGGTAAAGTGCTTGACCAGCATACATGAAGTCCTAGGTTTAATCCCTGGTATGGGGAGGGAGGAATAACTAATATGAATGAGAAATTGACTTCCTACTTTAAATAATTAATTTATAGGTAAGGAGCGAAAGAAAAAAATCCAAGACTTGGTAAAAGCCAAGTTAATCATTGTTCTGTTGAACCACCTTGATCGGTCTGTTCTAAAAAGATCTCAGGGTTTAAAGAAAGGTATTTAAAATGGTACAGATACTTGTTTGGGCATGGTAGCAATCGCCTAAAATATCAACACTTGAAAAGCTGAGGCAGCCAGGACTAGTGATGCTCAGGAAGAAAATAAAGGTTCAAAAGCTACAATTCATTGCACAGGCCTATAATCCCAGAAGTAGGGATCCAGAGGCAGGAAGCTCCCTGTGAGTCTGAGGCCAGTCTAATCTACACAGTGAATTCCAAGCAGTCAGAACTACATAGCAAGAATCAGGTGGGAGTTAAGTGACCAAAAATAGATGTGAAATTTCTTGGGATCAACTAAAAAAAGCAGCAGGGCTGGATTGGGTCTGACAGTTCTACAGCCATGCTAGGTACTCCGAAGCTGTTCACTTCAGCAATGAGAAGTTTTGAAGACAGAAATGTCTTCTAGACTAGAACAAACAAGTGGCTTGCTGCACCTTCACACACTCCATTGTCAATTCCAGCATGAACTAAGGACAACTTGGATAAACTACTATTACCCAACATCAAACAATATAAATGGCAGTTAACTTACAGCAGGGAAAGAAATGTGACTTAAATCAAAGAAATCAAGTCTGGATAACACAAAGAAGAAACTAGCTGTAACATGTCAGTCCACTGCTTCTTAACTAGCCATTAAAACCCAAGTCCAACTCTATTCTCATTAAACCCAATGCTATTGAGTCATTGCTTCGTGATCTTGCATCCCTGTTTAGTATCCCTTGGAATCATGCCCTGACTCAGATCTAAAGAAGAAGAGTGCACACTAACCTTGCCTATTTGTTTTCAGTTCAAATACATGTATGTTAACATTTTCAACCATTTCTTACCATTTACTACTACTTAAAAGACCATGTTCTCAATCTGAAAGGTGTTCTTTCATGCACTCTGAAACACAAGAAAACATCTGAAAATCCAGCACTGTGGCATCTATTCAGCACCAGTGTATTAGAGGCTAGGGAATGTGTTACACAAGATGATTTTGAAAGATGTTTGAAAGACCCACCTGTTCCAGATTCTCTTTCTCTTATTCCTCAACACTCATTTAATCACGCCTACAATACAAAATGCCTTTCAATGGAACTGAATACATTAATATGGTAGCACTGAGGGGTAAAATCCTGAACAATTCACCTGTTAGTTCCAATGGGGAGAAGGGTTCTTGGAGGAAAGAATATTTATATAGGACTAAGCTGCTTGCGATGTATCTTTGCAATAGTCACAGCCCTGTTGGATAGAGTCCATACCTAATTCTCTCCACCTATGAAACTGTTTCAAAGAAATGGACAGACAGTAAAGCAGCCTTGACTAAGTATTTCATGTTAGGTAATGTGCTACCACCTTTAACAAAGTTCAGTTTCTGGGCTGAGATGCCCCACATGCCCAAAGCCCTCAGGTTTATGCAACAGTACCACCAAAACAAAAAGGAAAAACAAAAAAGAAACCCTTTTTCATCAGCAGGAGAAGCTGTTACAGGACAAACTGACAGGTTGCCAAGGCAGGGGGTACAAAAGGACAGACCACAAATTAGACTGGAACATCTATGTGATACAGGAGCATCTGAAAGCCCAAGGCTTTAAAGTGACAAAATGGGTCATCTGGAAGTAGTCAGTTGCGTATATTTGGGGCACAGAAGATTCAGAGGAAGATTTGTTAAAGAGTATTATGATCATTCCTTGGACCTTGACTTAATCTTACCTTTCTACATGTAAGATAGAAGCAGACTAAACAATAAGATGTTAAATCCTGAATTTATTGGTCAAGTCAACTCTTTGGTCAAATGAATACAAACTGAATAATCAAACATATTTTAGAAACAGTCACCAAGCACAAGTTTGTTCAGATTAAAAATTATTCATTTGCTTTAAATATTTTATTGCACATGCATACACATCTTTTTAAATAAATAGATACCTTGGTTTAACGGCCACCAAGTTACCCAACAACTGACACTTAGCATATGAAGTGTGTAATGTCCTCATACATACTAGAAACCTATTTTGTAGACCTTGTTCATTCAACCTGAATTTTCAGGTATTTTTGCTGGCTCTTTCCCCAAAACCATACATTGAAGTCCTAAGTCCCAATGCAATAGTATTTGTATGTGAGGCCTTTATGAAATAACCAGAATTAGGAGAGGTCATGAGATCAGTGCCCTCACATAGAGACCATGAGAGGCTGTGTGTTTGCTCTCTTTCACATACAGAGGTCATATGAACACACAGATAGCAGCCACCTAAAAGCCAAGGAACAAGACTTCAAGATAAAACAAACCTAGGGACAGGCATGATGATGCATAGTGGATAAAGGTGCCAGCCTACAAGCCTGGTGATCTGAATCCGATCTCTGGAACCCACATGGTGGAAGGAAAGAAGCGCACAAGCTGTCCCCTTTGACCGCCATATATGTGTCACACACATACAAAATAAATAAATGTAAAAATATAATGGTAATGGTACCTTGCCAGCACTTTGGTCTTGGAATTCCAGCTTTCAGAACTGAGAAAGAAATGTCTGCAGCTTATGCCACCCAGTTTAAAGAATTATGGTATCTGAGCTGCATGAGTAGGAAGGAACTTAAAAGCTAAAGTACTGAGAATCAACCCTAATGACCTGAGTTTGATCTCTGGGGTCCACAAAGTAGAAAGACAGAACCAACTTCTGAAAGATGTCCTGACCTCCACACACTTGCCACAGCATATCCAAACCAACGTGTATATATACTTACATGTATGTACGTGCATGAACCAAATAAACAAAACTTTTTTTTCTTAAAGCTTACCTTTTTTTTCTTTTTCCTGTGACAGGGTTTCTACGTGTGGCCCTGGCTGTCCTAGAACTAATTCTGTATACCAGGGTTGTCTTGAACTCACAGAGATCCACCTGCCTCTGCCTCTAGAGTGCTGGGATTAAAGATGTATGCCACCTATAGAATCCCCATGATTTCCAGAGAGGAAAGGTAAGTGATTTCTCTAGGTCCAATCCCTTTGATACTTACTCTATTATACAACAGATTCACTGAATTGCTGACTTTTTGATGCTAAAGATAAAAACCAGGACCACAAACATACCAGACAAGAACTCTAACCAATAAGCTGTACCACTAGCTCACTTAAACAGATTTTAAATACAAACTACCAGTGATTATGCAATGAAAGGAACCAAGACAAGTCAACTAAATTCCAAATTAAAAAATAACCTATTTCATTTGTTGCAACTCCTTAGTCAAACAGATTTAACAAAATGATCTCTTCCATTTATGCAGCATCTTTACCATAGGAACATCCCATAGGAAAGCCGCCTTACTAAATGAACAAACCTTTGGAAAAACAGCTTCTGCCATAGTGAGTAAGATACTTAGAATTTGGCCTTTTAGTTTAATCTAGTTAATTACTTTTTAATTAAACAATAACCATAATAAATGGCAAAATTGTAAGTCTATGTGGGACTTTATCTTATTTTTTGAGCAAACTATATTATCAATTACTTCACTTAAGAAGCTCTCACCCAGAATCAGAGCTTTCCTTCTAAGCATGCTATGGTTTGTGAGGGGATGAACACATCAAAAGTGTGTCTTACCAGGTGGTGGTAGCACACACCTTCAATCCTAGCACTCAGGAGGCAGAGGCAAGAGGATCTCTGTTAGTTCGAGGCCAGCCTGATCTACAAAGCAAGTTCCAGGACAGGCTCCAGAGCTACAGAAAAAAGCTATCTCAAAAAAAAAAAACAAAGCAAACAACAACAAAAATACTGTCTTACTTATACCTACTCAAAAATAACAAATATTACTCTCCTTCAAAACAACTTAAAAGCAGATTCACAGAAACACCTCCAATGTTCCTTTATAAATGACACAGATGTAAGTTATCCCTCCCAAAGCTTGTACATGGTTCTTTAACTCAGTGTGCTAGTCTATTAAATACCATACTATAATTTCCCCCATTCAAACTCCAAGAAGGCTTCTATAGAAGATCTGGAAGGAAAACCTAAATACCATTGCTTCAGTGTATCTAAATTTATTTCCTCAGCAAATCAAAAGATTAAGGGCTAGATGCTGCTACAGAAAGGCAGGCGGATATGACTATAAACTGCTCTTTCCTCCACTCTTCCTCGCTGTGTCCCGCCTCTCCAAGTTCCATGACTGGAAATCATCCTAATTTTTTTAGCCAGGATATACTAAAATTAGACAGGAACAAAGGCCTGACATTTTCATATTAGCAAGGGGTTAGGAAGCAAATCTGAACTTGCAGCACCCACACTCATCTACATTTAGCCTCTTCCTTGTGAATCTTTCCTTTCTAAAGCAGCAAGAGGCACAGCAGGAACCAGTCCTGCTCAGTTTCTACTCTGCCACCATACCTGTCAACACACTACTTCATCCACAGTGCATCAGTGAAGAACCCCAATCAACAGGAGGATTTCATATTTCTTTCTAAGATACTCTGGTATTCTCTAGGATATATAATTGCTGGATCATGTGTCAATCAATGCTTTGGGGAAATGGAGAGACTACACTCATTTTTTTTTAAGTAGCTTCCAGACACCATATACAATAAAAAATAAAAAATAAAAACACTGAAATGTTTATCACTTTCTGACACAGTAATAACAACACGATGTAAAAATATACCACAGGGGCTAGAGAAGTGGCTCAGCACTAAAGAGCATTTTCTGCTCTTTCAGAGAACTGGTTCCCAGCGCCCACGTAAGGCAGCTCACAA